TGGCAGAAAAACAAACACAAAGACCAACAGAAACAGAATTGAGAGCTTAGAAATAAAACATGTATATGGGCAAATGATTTTTGACAATGGAACCCAAAACTTCCAATAAAGAGGAGAAAGCCTCTTCAATAAGTGGTGCTGGGAAAATTGGAAAGCTACTTGCAAAAGAATGAAACTTGGCTGCAGTTTGTCCCCATGTACAAAAATTAATTCAAAATGGATCAAAGACCTAAATATATTATCTGAAACAATAAATTACATAGAAGTAAACGTAGGTTCTAAACTTATGGACCTTGGTCTGAGAAGATTTTACGAATTTGACCCCAAAGGCAAAGGAAGTAAGGCAAAATAAATGAATGGGACTACATCAAACTAAAAAGCTTCTGTGCAGCAAAAGAAACTGCCGACAAAACAAAAAGGTGACCAACCAAATGGGACAAGATATTTGCAAACAACAGCTCTGACAAGGGTTTAATATCCAAAATATATATAAAAAACTCATGCCCTGCTGGGCGTGGCTCAGCAGTTGAGCATCAACCTAGGATCCAGGAGATCTGGGTTTGATTCCCGGTCAGGGTACATGCCTGGGTTGCAGGCTGCAGCTGATCAATGACTCTCTCATCATTGATGTTTCTATCTCTCTCTCTCCCCCTCCTTTCCTCTCTCTGAAATCAATAAAGATATGTTTAAAATAAAATAAAATAAAAGACCATTCAATGGTCAACAGAGGCATGGATAAATGGTCTACATTTTAAAAAAAACCAAAAATCAAAAAAACTCATACAACTCAACACAAAACAGACCAATTAAGAAAAAGGGCAGAGGACCTGAACATACACCTCTCCTGAGAAGACACACAAATGGCCAACAGATATATTAAAAGATGCTCAAAGTCACTAACTATTAGGGAACTGCAAATCAAAACTACAATGAGATACCACCTCACATTTGTTAGAATGGCTGTTATTAACAATGCAAGTTATAACAAGTGTTGGAGAGGTTGTGGAGAAAAAGGAACCCTCATTCACTGCTGGTGGAAATGTAAACTGGTACAGCCACTATGGAAAAAAGTATAAAGGCTCCTCAAAAAATTAAGAATAGAATTAGTATATGAACCAGCAATTCCTCTTCTGGATTTCTTCCTGAAAATTTTGAAAACATTTATTTGTAAAGATATATGCATTATTCATGGTGGTCAAGACATGGAAACAACCTAAGTGTCCTTGGATAGATGATTGGATTAAAAATGTGGTATATATATACGATGGAATACTACTTAGCCCCAAGAAAAGATGAAATACTACCATTTGAGACATGGATGGACCTTGAAGATATTTTAAGCGAAAGAAGTCAGAAAAAGCTAAGAACCATTTATCCATGCCTCTGTTTCTATTTTGTTCGTCAGTTTATTTTGGTTATTAGATTCCACAGCTGATACAGGGGAGAGTGTGGTTCAGGTGGTGGATGAAAGAAGGTGAAGAGATCAGGAAAAGAAGACCCCTATATTTATATAAAACACATAGATACAAACAACAGTGTGGTGATAGCCAGAGGGAAAGGAGGGTGGGGGGTAGGTAGAGGTGGACAAAGTGGGGAGAATGGGAAGGGAAATAGACTTTGCTTGGGGCAATGGGCACATGATACATTGTGCAGATGCTATTTTGTTGAGTTGTACACTTGAAACCTGTATGGTTTTGTGAACCAATGTCACCCCAATAAATTTAATAAAAAAACAAAAAAGAGAAAAAGCTAAGAACAATATGATTTTACTTATATGCAGAATATAAAACTGAAACTCTTGGTTGCCAAGAGGGAAGGGGGTTGGATGGTAGTAAAGGGTAAAGGGGACCAAATATATGGCGAGGGAAGATGATTTGACTTTGGGTGGTGGGCACACAATGCTATATATAGATCCTGTATCATAGAAATGTACCCTTGAAACCTATATAATCTTATTAACCAGTACATTAAAAAAAGGTATTTTATATGCAAATATACTTACATGAGGGAAATATTTTTTAGATTATTGTTGGGGAATAAAAGCAACAACCAAAATTTATAAAAGAGAGGGAAGAAAAACACTGCAGATAGTTTAAGAATGATGAAACTTGTTGAACTTTTCTTAAAAAGTGTTAATCTTCTCATAAACTAGCACTTAGTGGAGGGGTTAATCTGGGTACTTTTTCCTTGAAAGAGTGAAACTAGGGGTGTGAAATAAAAAGATTGAAGTTTTTTATGGATTATTTGATAAAATCTTAAGTGTTAAGTTGAAGACCATCCTTTACAGGGTCAGAGCTATTTTATTTTATTTTTTTTTGGTATCAATTTACCATACTCTGTGCTGAAACTTTTCTTAGCCTACCCAGACTGGATTCTGTCCCCATAACAAAGAAAACATTCTGCATACTTCTCTTCAATTTATATATTGTTAACTTCAACAGGCAATTTTCTTTACCTCAGCTATTGTTAATGTTATTGGTCCCTTCCTTATTTTAATTTTAGCTCTTTGGCTTTCTCCTTTTTAGAGTTACCTTCTTATCTAACCATTAAATGTTGGAGTGCCTCAAGATTTCATCTTATGTCTCCCTTTTTTCTTTTTTTACTTTAAACTTTCCCCCTAGGCAATCTCATCCCATTTTTTCACTCAAGTATTACCTTTATGATGGTAATTTAGAAATATACACCTTTTGCTCGAAACACCCTCTGAACTCCAGACATGTATATAATTAGCCTACTAAATTATTCTACCTCAAACCCAATGGGTCAAAGTAAAATTTCTCCCCACTAAGCTCATCCTTCTTCCAGTGTTCTCTGTCTCAGTGAGTGGCAGTAACACTGTCCAACTGGGTAAATCGGAAATGTGGTAATTTACCTTGACAACTTGATTCCTTTTATCCCTAATATTTAATCCATTTTCTGCATCTTCTTCATTTTATGTCCTAAATAACTGTCAATTACTCCATATCTAATGGTTACACCTTTGTGCCAATACCCATCATCTATAGTATGACTAAAATCCTGTTTTATGCATTCATAACCACTTGGAGGAATCTTCAGTATACAATTAAACTTCTGATTTTGGATTCCAAGTTTTTCAATGTTTAAACCCACAGTTGCTTGATATTTTTGTAATTTTGTGTATATGATACATTGTCTAAGTATTTGTATTATCTTGTGCCTTTCAAGGAGTGTCCCTTAAAGTATAATTGATGGATCATGTTTAAATATCACCTAAGATACCTGTTACAAATACACATTTCAGAGCTCCAAATCAGACATACTGAATTAAAAGTGTGTGTGTGTGTGTGTTCGTTAGGAATCTGCCCCTTTAACAGGCTCCCTTAGAGGACTATTATGCACACGAACATTTGAAGATCTTGGAATAATCTTGTTTTTATTGCTGATACATTTTATTGTTAGTACATGCTGGTGAGGTTACTGCCTGTGATCTTGTTGCGTGAAAAGAGATGCATGTTGAAGCCTTCAGAATGTATGTGAGCTGCACTAGAGAAATGTTTAAGCAGGTAGCCTATATACTTTACAATTGTTGTGCTGGAACCTGTGCTCTCTTTCGGGAAGCTGTTCACAGAGTGGTATGCTGGAAAGCTTCCCAAAGGAAGGTTCAGAAGGTCCAGTATGGGTAGTAGATTTTAATAAGCAGTTCTGGGAGAAGCTGCTTATGAGAATGTGCCAAACTAGGGACCTTGCCAGGAAGTCACCCATGGAGGTGGTGCTGTTGAAACTTGCTGGAGGTGAGCATTACAAAATATATACTGTGCACTGCCCTAGGTTTAAGGAGAGAGAGAGAGAGAGAGAGAACAGAACCAGAAAGAAAAGCTCCTTTTAATCTAGTGTCTAGAACCCTCTACTGACAAAGGTTAACATCATACCACCTATTAAAAAAGAAACATAAGCAGGACAAAGAAGAATGGATTTTAGCTGAGAGACAATAAATTGATAACTGTAGCTGATTGCTGCACCACCTTTTAGCTCAATTTATGATTGGTGTCCTCTTCTTTGGAATCTTGACTTTGTACTTAGAGTTTCCATAGATTTCCCGCTTCCCTTCCACTTGTACTGCATTCCCCAATCTCAGACTTAGAGTACATTGCCCCATATTTACTTGTGATGTTTATATCATAACCCTAGTCCAAACAGCCATTACTAAAATGAAGACTTAAATTCCCAAAGCTAGAATTCATTAGTAAAGCCATCTGGTCCTGGATTTTTACTTTTCTCTAGGTCCTGTCAAAACTTTCTAACCTCAATGTACTGTTCTTGCTTATGTCTCCACATGTTGGCTGTTTCTAGGTTTCTTTTATTGTGATTTTTTGGGCACTCATTCTTGCTGAACTTTCTTTAAATAGACTTATTGCCTAGAATACCAATTATCGCCTGCCATCTTATATAGTGGACTCTGTTGATTCTCCCGACTGCTCATCACCTTGTAGCTTGGTGTGTTTCAAAAGGTTTGAAACAACCAAAGGGGTCTTAGTCTTCCTCATGCAGACTGAGGAATGCCAGCTCTATAAACCTTTATATAACTTCTCAGAGTTAGTAGTAGAAGATATTAGCCTTTGAGAGCAAATTATTGTGTCGTTCCATAATTTATCACAGTAAGAGTATTCTTAGAATGGATTTTGAGGTAGTAATTACTTTAAATTCTCTCATAAATAATTTCAATTTCATTTAATGCTGCTACAATTGTTACTGCACTTGCTTAAAATTCTTAAATGTTAAAATAATAAACAGAAGATTGAATTTGAGTTTTGACATGTAAAAGTCAACACTTAGCTATGATTCTTTTGCTAGATAATTGCTCATATCAGTATATTTGTAAAATATTAGTATTTTACAAATAGGTAAGGATATAAAATTCTAGCTATAGATAAGAATAATACAAAATTACTTAGATATAATAAATGAAACAATGAAATTTCTTTGAGCTAAGGGAACAAAATGGGCATTTCCTAAGTACCTTGCTAATTTTATTATTTTAGATAAGTAAAGATCAAAGTTTTTCAGAAGCAGAGTTTCCAGCACCCGATAAAGCAGTCACTTTAAGCATTTCACAAATAGTAAAGCAAGTGCAAAAACTTGAAGAACTGAAAAAGCGCCTTAAAGAAGAATCCAAATACTCCTTGAAAGCCATGCTATCTAAGCCCAAGTAAGTAAAATATGAGTTAATAGAATTAAAAACAAGAATGGGTATGTAATTAGTAACAAATGCAAGATAAGATTTCAGATATACTACATGTAGAGCTTCTAAGTCAAAAAAGAAGGTCTAGTCAGTTTTTTCCTATTTGAAAATTTTAATAGTTTGAAATGGCACTATTTAATACAGTAGACACTAGCCATATGTGGCTATTAAAATTAAAATTCTATTTAATTAAAAAACAAATTTCCTAGTCCCACTAACTACATTTCAAATGCTTGGTAGCTGTGGCTGTTGTTAGATAGTTCTTTTGGACATTGGTGTCTTTGAAATATCTGACTTATTTACTCTTTTTAGTATGATTAGGTAGCTTTTATAATGAATAACAAACTAAAATATGATTAAATATTTTATTATTCATGAACATCATTATTTAAAATTGCATAGGGAGATATATATATGTGTATATATATGTACCTTTTCATATATATATAGTGTGTGGTGAGAACACTTCAGATCCACTCTCTTGGCAAATTTCAAGTATACAATCAATAGTATTATTAACTGTAAATACCATGATGTACATAAGATCTCTAGAATTTATTGAACTTATAACTGAAAGTTTGTACCCTTTGATTGACATCTCCCCATTTCCCCAACGCCCAGCCCTTGGAAACCACCATTGTATTCTCTGTTTCTAAGAGTTTGACTTTTTGAGATTTCACATATAAGTGAGATCATTTGTCTTTCTCTGTTTGGCTTATTTCACTTAGCATACTGTTCTCCAGGCTCATCCTTGCTGTGACAGATAACATTTCCTTTTGTTTATGGATGAATAACATTATGTTGTATATATTTACCACAATTTCTTTATCCATTTATCCATTGACTGTAAGTTAGGTTGTTTCCATATCTTGGCAGTTGTAATATTGCAGTAAACAGAGGAGTGCAGATATATCTTCAAATATATAGATTTCATTTTTTTGGACATATATTTGGAAATGGGATTGCTGGATCACATGGGTGGTAGTTCTTTAAAAAAATTTTTTTTGAGAAATCTGTTATCAAAACAGGTTGTGTCAATTTATACTATCAACAGCAGTGTACAAGTGTTTTCTCTCTCCACATCCTTGCCAACACTTTTGATAATAGCCATCCTAACAAGTTTGAGATGAGATCTCATTGTGGTTTTGATTCATATTTCCCTGTTGATTAGTGATGTTGAGTACCTTTTCATGTACCTCTTGACCATCTGTATGTCTTCTATAGAAATGTCTATTTATTTGTCTATTTCTATGCCCATTTAAAAAATTGGGTTATTTAGATTTTGCTATTGGTTTGTATGAGTTGCTCATATGTTTAGGATATTAATCTCTTATCAGACATATGGTTTGCAGATATTTTCTCCTATTCTGTAAGTTGCTTTTTCATTTTGTTGACATTTCCTTTGGTGTATAGAAACTTTTATATTTGATGCAATCTCATTTGTTTGTTTTTGCTTTTGTTGGCTGTGATTTTGGTGTAAATTCCAAAGTATCATTGCTGATACCAGTTTTAAGGAGTTTTCGCCATGTTTTCTTCTAGGAGTTTTATGGGTTCATTTTGAGTTAATTTCTGTGTATGGTATAAGATGATGATACTATTTAACTCTTTTTACATGTAGATAGTCTGTTTTTCCAGCATCATTTCTTGAAGAGACTATCCTTTCCCCATTGTGTATTCTTGGCATCTTTGTCATAGATGAATTGACTGCACGTATGAGGGCTCTTTGTTCTGTTCCATTGGTTTATATGCCTATTTTTATGCAAGTACAACAATATAGTGATTACTATAATTTGAAATCAGGAAATATGATTCTTCCAGCTTTGTTGTTATTAAAAAAATTTTTTTTTTAATTTTTCTGAAGATTTTATTGGCTATTCAGGCTCTTTTCTGGTTCAATATGAATTTTAGGATTTTTTCCCCTTTTTTTAAACTTTATTTTTATTGTTGACACTATTCCAGATTTCCCCATTTTCCTTCCCTTTGCCCACCCCTACCTAGCCCCCACTCCCCTTCCCTCTGGGATCACCACACTTGGTTGTCTGTGTCTGTGCTTCATGTATGTGTGCTCTTTGGCTAATCCCTTCACCTTCTTTCATCTAGTTCCCCTACTCCCAGCTGTCAGTCTGTTCCATGTATTCATGCCTCTGTTTCTATTTTGTTCATCAGTTTATTTTGTTTATTAGATTCCACATATAAGTGAGATCATATAGTATTTGTCTTTCTCTGACTGGCTTATTTCACTTAGCATAATAATCTCCAGGTCCATCCATGCTGTTGCAAAAAGTAAGATTTTCTTGCTTTTTATAGCCGCTAGTATTCCGTTATGTAAATGCACCATAGCTTTTTTATCCACTCATCTACTGATCAGCACTTGGGCTGTTTCCAGATCTTTGCTATTGTAAATAATGCTGCAATGAATATAGCAGTGCATATATTTTTTTGAATTGGTGTTTTAAGATTCTTAGGATATTTTCCCAGAAGTGGGATCACTGGGTCAAAAAGCAGTTTCATTTTTAATTTTTTGAGGACACTCCATACTGTTTTTCATAGTGGCTAGACCAGTCTGCGTTCTACTTCTATGAAAAGTGCCATTGGAATTTTGAATTTTGAAAGGGATTACATTGGATCTGTAGATCACTTGTGGTAGTATGGACATTTTAACAATGTTAACTATTTCACTCCATGAACATGGGATATCTTTTCATTTGTTCCTCTATTATTCTGTTATGTTTAATCACACCTGGTATAGTAAGTTATCTAAGTAAAATTTACATTTATAAACAACATTGTTTTCATTAAACATAAACTAAGCCTTTTAATTTTATAGTGTTAAAATAGAAAGTACCCATAATTGGGAGGGGCTACTATTTATTATGCAATTACTTTATTCATAGCGCCATTTGTCAATGACTAGACTTAAAGGGACAAAGGGAGTGGTACATGAGTTGGTGCCAATGGGGGTTGCACAATAGATCCTTGGTTCAGAGGTTCAGATATATTCCCTTGAAATATCTATTGAGGCATGAAATTAGTTTTTTATCATATGTTAATATTAATACCTTAAATTTAATCGTCTGATGTGCGTTGGTATTTTCCTCAGAACTTTGCATGTATCCTTTGATCCTTACAAGTGCATTAAACAACAGGTACTCTAATACCTTAGTTTTAGCAGATGAAGAAACTGAAGCTCAGAGAGGTTAAATAACTTAAGTACCCAAGCTCACATAATTTTAAGTGGGTAAAAAAGATTTTGAGCCAAGTATTCTGACTCTAGAACTTGTGCTTTTAATGCATGCACCATTAATAATACATTGGTAAAAAGAAATTTCATGTTTCTATCCAATTTATTTTTGCTATTTTTGTTGTGAATGTTGTTGGTATACCTAATTTTATTCACAGAATATATAGAATTTATAAAATTACATAGTTTGACTTTTATACCTATTTGCTAATAATTTACTTTATTGTCTGTGAATAAAGGTTAAACAACATGTTAAATTTTATTTTACAAACTATATATGTCTAGAGTGTATATTCTAATTCTTATTTAAGAATCTTATTCTTTGGTAATAAATATGTTTTATTTATTGACATTTTACAGGGATAGTGAAAATCCATCAGAAGTAGCGCAAAGTTATGAAAATATACAGCAGAAAATTGAAGGTGATATTTTATGTGTTTGCTTTTATGAGGTTTCCTAAATACATTAACATTTTGAGACTTACAGTTTAAAAGTTTGTAGCCATGAAATTATACAATAGTAAATTTCAAAAGATGTTACTAGAGGGAAAAGGGGGAAGGTAGTAAAAGGTAAAGGAGGTCAAATATACAGTGACAGAAATAGATTTAACTTTGGGTGGTAAACACAGAGTACAATGTATAGACAATGTATCATAGAATTGTACACTTGAAACCTGTAAAACTTTATTAACCATTGTCACCTCAATAAATTTAATTAAAAATATATTTAATAGTGAATTTGAAAAAATAGTGAGTTTGATACTTTCAATAAAAGTTCTTATATTGCAGATTATAGAAGTGTATAAAATGAATAAAATTTTGTTGTTGCTTCTATAAAACCCAGAACTTACTAAGGTCACAAGCACATGAAATATCATTTTTCATAGTGTCATGCATGATAATTGTTTGTGTAATCTGCAGTGTGAGTCTACAGAAAGGAGCCAATTTGTTCAATTTGAGAGAGTTAGGAAAATTTTATGCAACCTTAAAGCATGAATAGGACTTAGTTAAATGAAGAAGGGAGATATTTGGTATTTTAAGAAGCTATAGTATGAATGAACAGAATGAATGAGGAATTACAACTGGATTGGTATTAGACTGTAAAGCAATAGGCAGGGATAAGGTAGGAGAGAGCCTCGTCAGAGGGATTGAATGTTGTGCTAAGAACTATTTATTTATTTATTTATTTATTTATTTATTTATTTATTTATTTATTTAAATATAATAGGGACTCATTGAAGATTTTCTGTAGGGAAGTGACATTGTTGTATTTAATTTAAAAGATTATTCTGGCCACATTGTAGGAGCTAGACTTGGGGTCTGGGAATAAGAAAGAGAATCGTTGCTGTATCTTAGGTGTGTAATAAGTGCCTATATTAGAGCACAAGTAAAAGAGAAGGGGCAGATTTGAGAAATATGTACCTGATAAAATTGGCAAAACTTGGTGATTGGATATAAAAAGAATGGAGATTAGATGATGGTAACGTTAACTAAGAGAATATAAAAGGAAAAACAAGTTTTGTTGAAAAAATGGCGAGTTCACATCACTCAGTTGTTATGCACATTCTTTCAGACATTACCACGGTTGCCCAATTGGGAAGATCTGTATGTTGGCAGCTCTACTGTTTTTCTTAGAATTTTTTTTCTCTTGAATGAGTTGTTGAAATAAAAACTATAAAATTTAAAGTCAATTAATACGTATAATTGATATTTGAAACTTATGACAAATCACTCTTATTTCAGAATTTATAAAAACCCATTCAACTGAAGAATTTATGGATGTTTCTGCAACCGAGCCACGTAAGTTTCCACTCATTTAAGCATCAGTGTTATTAACCTCTGTTGAGGGCATTAATTTCTATAATTTTCTATAATTTAAAGTAACAATTATTGTTGCAAAATAGATTCCCTTAATTTTGGAGTCATACAATTGAGCTGGCTATTAAGCAAGTATTGAAATTTCTAGTTAAGGTTAGATGTTATAAAAAATAGACTCATTTTTGAGGAGCACCATATTACTTGGAATGGAGGATTTTAGGTGTTTTTAGAATATACTAGTGGGCTCTGGCCAGTGTGACACATCGGTTAGATCATTGGCCTGCACACTGGAGGGTCATGGGCTAGATTCTTGGTCAGAGGCATGTACCTGGGTTACAGTCTTGATCCCCGCCCCCAGCTGGGTGCCTGTGAGAGATAACCAATCCATGTGTCTCTATCACATTGATGTTTCTCTCTTTCTTTTTCTTTCCCTCCGCCCTCCTCCCTTCCATTCTCTCTAAAAATCAATGGAAAAAAGTATCCTCACTCTTTGGGTGAGGGTTAAAAAATAAAATAAAATAGAATATACTACTGAAATGTTGCAGGGGTGGCAGGCCTTTAAGGTGGAACAGTAATAAAGTTAAGAGATCATTTGTAGCTTTTGTTACTAATTAATTACAGATCATCTCATAAAGACTAATGCTACTGGTAGGTACTCAGCTGTAGCCAAAGCTGCTAGAACTAGGATGTTAAACTTCTGACAAGTTGCCAAAAGGGAGAAATTACCTTGCTTATGTTTTAATAATGGACAGAATTTTCTAACAATCATGAAATGTATACTATGGGATACAGTTTAGAAGTGGAAAATACGATTTGATTAGAAAAAATTGATGGGAATCCTGTCCTCTTTCGACATTAGCTTTAAACCCTAATGTTGCAAAACCCTAATTTGTAAAACAAGGACAGATATACATTCTACAGTACTCCCAGGTTCTATATAGACTTCTGATCAAGAGATCCTGTCTAGGTAGGATAGAAAGAGCTTTGAAGTGGATAGTGACAGCCTCTCTGTGCCAAACCCTCTGCACATTTATGGAGCTCACCCTCAATCTGTGAAGCTTGTTTCTGTGTAGTACTGTGCCCTGTTAATTCTAGCTGCCAAAACTCTAAACTTTTTCTCTGAACTAAAGGAGACTCTTTTTGGGTTCATCTTCCTTATGTTGTGGCCTAGAAACTCCATGCAATAAGCTGGCATGATCATTTTAAGGCTTTTTCCGTGTTGTCTCTCAGGGATTACTGCTTTATGCTTTCTGTTTTCCAATGTCTGAACATTGCTGTTTCTTTATTTTTGTCCAGTTTTTAACTAGTTTAAGGTGAAAGGGTAATTCTGGTCCCTGATGCTTCATCATAGTAAAAAAAAGAAGTCTCTGCGCCTACTTATATGCCAGTGGAACACATCCTCCAACAACAGCATAGTTCTAAAAAATATAGTAGTAGAAATTTTATGCATGACTTTTCAGGGAAGCACAGGACAGGGTTACATTACACAATATGGTGTAAAACCTTTTTCAAGTTCCTAAGTATCTTTCTCATGGCTGCTGCTTCAGTCCTTGAGCTCCATTGGTATAGATCTACTCTCTGTCAATATTGTTCTGTTTCACTTATGTACTCTCTCTTTTTTTATTAAAACTACTCCCTTTTGGAAACAAAAGAAAAAATAACCAGTGGGACTAAATCAAACTAGAATGTTTCTGCACAGCAAAGGAAGTCATCAAAAAAGTGAAAGGACAACCCATTGATGGGAAAACTATTCATGATGATATATCTGATAAGGGGTTAGTATCCAAAATTTATTAAAAACTCACACTACTCAACACACACACACACACACACACACACACACACACACACACACACACACACACACACACACAATCTAATTAAAAATTAGGCAGAGGACCTAAATAGACCCTTCTCCAAGGAGAACATACAGATAACCAACAGACATGTGAAAAGATGCTCAACGATGCTAACAGTCAGAGAAATGCAAATTAAAACCACAATGAGATATCACCTCACACCTGTCAGAATGTCTGTCATCAGTAAATCCACAAATGACAAGTGTTGGTGAGAATGTGGAGGATGGGAACCCTTGTGCACTGTTGGTGGAATGCAGAGTGGTGCAGCTATTGTGGAAAATAGCATGAAGTTTCCTAAAAAAATTAAAAATGAAACTGCCTGTGACCCACCAATTTCACTCCTGTATTTATCTGAAGAAATCCAAAAGACTAATTTGAAAGAATATATGTATCTCTAAGTGCATTGCAGCACTATTTACAATAACCAAGCTATGGAAGCAACCCAGGTGCCCATCAATCGATGAGTGAGGGGAAGAAAAAAAAAAGCTGTGGCACATCTATATAATGGAATATTACTCACCTGTAAAAAGAATGAAATCTTACCATTTGTGATAGCATGGATGGAGTTATGCTCAGTAAGTCACTCTGAGAAAGACAAATACCATATGATTTCACTTATATGCGGATTCTAAAGAACAAATAAAACTGAATCATTGGTGCAGAGAACAGACTAGTGGCTGCCATGGAGAGGGGTTGGGGGACTGAGTGAAAGAGGTAAAAGGACTGAGAAGTACAAATTGGGGGGTTACAAAATAGTCACGGGGAGATAAAGTACAGCACAAGGAATATAGTCAATAATATTGCAATAACTATGTATGGTACCAGGTAGGCACAGGAAATATCAGGGGGAACACTTTGTAAAGTATATGATTGCCTAACAACTATGTTGAAAGTAATACAAAATAATGTCAAAAGTGCAAATTGTTATGAGGTATCACCTCACACCTGTCAGAATGGCTATCATCAACAAATGACAAGTGCTGGGGAGGATGTGGAGAAAGGGGAACCCTAGTACACTGCTGGTGGGAATGCAGACTGGTGCAGCCACTATGGAAACAGTATCGAGGTTCCTAAAAAAGTAAATATGGAACTGCCATTTGACCCAGTGATCCCACTTCTAGGAATATATCCTAAGAAACCAAAAACACCAATCAGATAGAATTTATGCACCCCTATGTTCATAGCAGCACAATTTACAGTAGCTAAGATCTGGAAACAGCCCAAGTGCCCATCAGTAGATGAGTGAATAAAAAAGCTGTGGGACATTCACACCATGGAATACTATGCTGCTGTAAAAAAAGGAAGACCTTTGAGACAGCATGGATGAACCTGAAGAGTATTATGCTAAGCAAAATAAGCCAGTCAGAGAAAGACAAGTATCACATGATCTCACTCATATGAGGAATCTAATGAACAAAATAAACTGATGAACAAAATAGATTCAGAGACATAGAAGCAAGGAACAGACTGACAAATCTCAGAGGGAAGGTAGGGGTGAGTGGGTGGGTGGGAAGAGATTAACCGAAGAACTTACATGCATATATGCATAACCCATGGACACAGACAATAGTGTGGTGAAGGCCTGGGGCAGGGGGTGGGTGCAGGGTAGAAGGGTCAATGGTGAAAAAGGGACATCTGTAATACTTTCAACAATAAAGATAAGTTCAAAAAAGAAAGTAAGCTCTTATTGAAAATAGAAAAAGATAGACTAGGAAAAAAAAAAAGAGAAAAAATGTACCCTCTTTCATCTTCAGCCAAACTTTATTCTTTTCTCCCCTTCCCATTCTCTAAATCGTATTAGATTCTGTAGCCTAATCAACAAGACAAAAGATACTTCTGTATTCCACTTTTTTTTCTTTTTTCAGCTATAATCTTGATGTTGCTTCATTTCATTATTAATAGACTTTATTTTTTAGAGCAGTTTAAGTTATAGAAAAAATGAGTAGAAGTTACTGAGTTCTGATATACCCAGTTTCCCCCCTGCCCTATGCAAAATTTTTTCTATTATTAATATTTTACATTAGTATTAATATTGGTTCATTAATTTTTATTATTTTTAAAAAATATATCTTTATTGATTTCAGAGAGAGGAAGGGAGAGGGAGACAGAGATAGAAACATCAATGATGAGAGAGTTATTGATCATCTGCCTCCTGCACACCCCGCAACCTGGGCACGTGCCCTGACCAGGAATTGAACCTAGATCTCCTGGATGCTCAACCGTTGAGCCACGCCTTGTTGGACTTGGTTCATTATTATTAATTAAAATCCATAGTTTACATAGAGTTCAATTTTTGTGTTGTACAGTTCTATGGGTTTTGACAAATGCATAATGTCATGCACCCCCCAATATAGTATGATACAGAATAACTTTACTGCCCTGAAAATCCCATGTTCTACTTACTCATCTCTCCCTTCATCCACCTGAATCCCTGGCAACCACTAATCTTTTTCTTGTTTCTATAATATTGCCTTTTCAAGAATGTCATATATTTGGAATCAAAGAGTCTTCCTTTTACTTAGCAATATACATTTAAGGTTCCTTTATATCTTTTCATAGTTTTATATCTCATTTTTTATTGAATAATAATTTGTTGTATGGATGTATCATAGTTTGTTTATTCATTCATCAGTTGAGGAAATCTCGGTTGCTTCTGAGTTTTGCAATGACAAATAATGCAGCTACAAACAAAGGTTTTTGTATGGGCATGTTTTTCACCTCATTTGGGTAAATACCAAGGAGTGTGATTGCTGGATCATATAGTAAAAGTATATTTTGTTTTGTAGAAACTACCCAAACTGTCTTGCAAAGGGGCAGTATCATTTTGCATTCCCACCAGCAGTGAGACTGAAAATTCATCTTAGTCAGCATTTGATGTTGTCAGAGTTTTGTTTTAGCCATTCTAAAAGGAGTTTACCAGTGTCTCTGTTTTAATTTGCAATTCCCTGATGCTATGTGATGTACATCTTTTCATATGTTTATTTGCCCTTCATATATCTTCTTTGGTGAGGTGTTTGTTAAGATCACTTATCCATTTCTAAAATTTGGTTGTTTGCTTTCTTTTTAACATATTTTTCTTTTTCTTTTGCATTTTCCCTTTCAACATTATTTTGTATTGGTTTC